GTGCACTCTAGGGGTCTGTGTGCTGCAACTACTGAGCCCACGTGCTGCAACTACTGAAGCCTGCACGCCTAGAGCCTGTGCTCTGCAACAAGAGAAGCCACTGCAATGAGAGGCCCGTGCACCACAACAAAGAGTAGCCCCCACTCGCTGCAACTAGAGAAACCCCGCGTGCAGCAACGAAGACCCAATGCAGCCAAAAAAACCCCCAAAACAACAAAAACCCCAGGGACTTCCTTGGTGGTCTGGTGGTTAGGACTCTGCGCTTCCACTGCAGGGGGCATGGGTTCAATCCCTGGTCGGGGAACTAGGATCCCGTATGCTGTATGGTGTGGCCAAAAAAAAAAAAATACATAAAATAAAAAATAAAAAAATTAAAACAAATTACTTACTCAGTCTCTGGCTTCTAAAAGCCAGAAATATTTATGGATTTTTAAATTCAATTTTAAAATTAATTTTTCAATTAGCAAAATAAAATGATTTGATGGGTCTTTTCCTATAAAATCTCAATGCCAAGAAAAGAATACATTCAACTTGGCAAGTTACACAGCCTCATTTTGTCTTAATTTCTCCGTTGGCAAAATGGGGATAATAATACCTACCTCAAAGGGTTATATGAGAATTAAATGGTAGATAAATAAATAAATAAATAAATAATAGACATATTCACAGTATACATAACTTTGGGTATGGAAATGGAAGACAACTCCAACCAAGTAACTTTTAAGTTTTGTCCTTCCAGAGAACCAGGTTCTGATGATTGCTTTTCTGATAGAGCTGTCTCTGAAATACAGTCCAAGCCCGGCGTCTGATTTTCACATAGAAGTAAAAACTCACTACTGAGTCCTTGATGTATTTTTATTCTGTAACCACTCTACACAAATAAATTGCTGTTTAAACCAGACTCTGTGTTAAAGAAGATTACACTGTATATATTTGTATATATTTGTTTGTATGTATTTCTTAGTCCTCTTAATTCTACCTAACTTAATGAATAAACAGGTAGCCAGTGCTCTCGTGTGTGTGTGTGTGTGTGTGTGTGTGTGTGTATTAAGTAATAGTAGGTTTCCTACCTCTCAGAAGAACACAGTTTAAATGCTAGGCAAAATGAGAATCTAACCTTCACCTTTCCAGAGTTTCAGGTCTTTAAGAATTACCCCTCTATACGGAGTAAGGTCATAAACATGATGATTTTCTTCATGCCACATTTCATAGCTTTCTACTTTCAAACCCATACCTTTAAGCCCAGCTTTTTGTTTTATCACTCCCCCACCCCCATTTAATCCAGTAAGCATTTGCTTAGCACCTACTTCAAGAAAATACTTTTTGCTAAGCTCTATTTTGGGCAGTGATTTTCAAACTGTCTGTCCCAACCCAATTTTTACAAATGAAATAGAATAAAATAACAGACTGCCTCACAGATGGTAAGGGTAAATACTGTTTCATGAAGCTTTTGTTTCAGTTGTGGGTGGGGACATGTATGTGAGTGAATAACGTAGGCATGCATATACTGCTCTTACTGTGGATCATGGTCCAAAAGTTCGAGAAACAGTGTTACAGGGATTAAATAAACATCAGCTCTAGATTTAGAACAGTACAACCCTGCAACAGTTGGCTTCTCTGGACATGTTGTTTGGTACTCACTGCACCACCTGACCTTAGAGACACAAGTCATCTTTAAAGAAAAAAAAATCTAACTTTCCATTTGAGGTGATGAAAAGGTTGAGGAGATACTGAAAGGCAGAACAAACTGTCCTTTGGTTATTGTTACAATCCCCGACAAGTTGGAATGGATGCAGAAGTGTATACTTTCTTTACCGCAACCTGACAGGAGGAAACTGGCCATTTGAAATGAGATAATTTTTAAATTAAAAAAAAATTATGTGGTATACACTTGCATGGATCAAAAATTTTAAATACAGAAGAGAATACAGTGAATAGAGTATTACTCATGACAGCTATACCAGAAACAATCCAAATGTCCATTAATGGTAGAATGGAGAAATAAATTATAATATACACATACAATGGAATATCATATGAGAATAAACTAATTATTCTTACATATAATGATATGGGTGCATCTTATAAGCCATACTCAAACGAGTACATACTGTATTACACTTACATATGGCTTAGAGATTTTCCATAGTAATATACAGTTTCTTCATTCGTTTTTGTAGCCATATAAAATTTATTCAATTGCATGAATATATGTTGATTTATTTATCCAATTCTTACTGATGGGCATTTAGGTTTTTTCCAAACTTTTGATGAGTTAATTTAAATGACTCTGCATGCTTGGTATGCTAAAAAGAAAACTGAAGGGCTCAGGATCTTTCAGGCAAGGTAACTTCAAACTCTAGCTCCTAGTATATTAATACAGGAAAAGTCCCTGGGCATCTGGGTCACAGTTTTAAGAGGAACTGGGAAAAAATACATATTTATTTATGCACAAAATTGAGATCATAAACACTCTCCTTGCCACCCCCTCAAAAAATGAAACACTTCCCATGTATTTCAATGTTTCTAGGCCACTGATACTACTCTAGATCTATTAAAATGATACATTCAGAAGGGTGAAAACAATTCATAAGGACCTAGTTATAGAACTCATTTTATAGCTCACGCGGTGTAATTAAGAAGTTATATTCCATTGAATTCCCCAAACTGAATCAAAATTCCAAAGCTGAAAAGTATAAATGTGTAAAAGACTATATTCTACACTAGCATTAAAGACAAAAGGAATCACCTACCACTGCATGTCTTGGTGAAATCCAGGTAGAGTCACAACCCTCTGATGCCACATGCATAGTAAAGACCAAAAAATCAGGCTAAGGAGCCATTCTTTGCATCATTTCCATTCTTATTCTCTTCCAACAAACCCTTCTCACCACACACTGATTCATCTATCAAGAAACTGACAAAAGCAACTAGCTATCTGCTAAGCCATTTGACTCTAGTAAACTAGAAAAAATAATAATTAAAAAAATAGCACCCCTTTCCAAGAAAAATTTTACTTAGCAAAATGTATTATAGTTGAGAAAAAAATATGTAACTCAATCATCTAAATTTTATTTGTTTAGTCAGTCTGGGCTCACATAGCATTAATGATGGTGTTATTAATATTATACATTCTGGCCGAGGTTAAGTTCTTTCAAGTGTTCTGCAAAGTCTAAGGAGAGTCTAAGACCATTATTTGCCAATCCCTCTTTATCAGCAACCCAATACTAGTGACTGATTCCACTGATGGGCAAGCCCCTAGGTGGCTCAATAATAAAAGAAAATAAGGCTTAGCAGGTTCCCTTGAGGTAAATTCTAATGCATTACTGATGTGTCTACCTTATCTGAAAAGTCTCTAGCTAACTTTGGTGGGTTCATAGACTTAACACAGTGATATTCTGCAAAAATGACAGAATAATTTAATTCTATAGAACCCAAGAAATCCTATTTTAAAAGCTCTATGCACTGAATAAAACTGGATACCTGCTCTTGAATCTGCTTTTCAGAGTAACCAGTCTCTTAAACTATATTTAAAAAACGAAAAAGATAATGTCATATTTTACCATAAAACTGCCTTTCTGACTAAAAACCTCAGAAGAGCAATGGGGATTCTTTAAGAAAAAATGTTCATAAGTGTCTTCAAAAATCAAAGGTAACTGCTATACAAACAAACAGATTAACTAAAGCATCTGATGTCTTCACTGATTCTACCAAGCACTTTATGGCTTGCATTAACCATGAAAATTTACACAAGGCTTTGCACGTGATTCAACTCTGGACACAGAACTTATTGAGCTACGTTAATGTCCTAAAACACCCCTTTCACCGCATAAGCTCTGTAAAGGCTTAAAACAAGCACAGCCTGTGGGTAACACTGTAGAATTTGGAGCCAAGTTTTATTGTCTCCACGAAGTTCAGCCAGCCATAGAGCAACAAATCAAAGTTCCAATAAGCACAGTGCACCTGCAAGTCTTAGGTATGCTCCAAGTCAAATATTTGCAATTTTTTCATCCCAAATCAGCACAGATGAACGTATGCAGATCGCAGAACCAGCCCTCTAAATCCTGTAAGCCAAAGTGATCTGTAGTTTCACTCCCACATCACTTGTGTCCTACCATTTATTGAGTCCTTAATGTGCATATGTGCCAGGAACTGTTCTAGAAGTTTGCATACATTATCTCTAATACCTATAACAAATCCTGTTCTGATGAGGAAACTGAGGCTAGAGAGGTCAAGGTGACTTGTCTAATGCCATAAAGCCAGTGGCGCTTTATTCAAACTTCGTTCTCCCTGGCTCCAAAGAGCCACCTCTGTGATCCTCCCTCAGCTAAAGTCACTAACTCCAACAGCAGCTTTCCTTTATCAAAGTAAATTCAAGGGCCAACTGTCTGAAATGATGACAAAGATGAGAAAAATATCATACCTAAAACCATGGCACAAGACCCAGGAATTCCCAGCGAGGAAACTCAGTCACCTCCTTCAGAATAACTAGTTCCAAAGGCTGTGATTCAAAATCAACTGACTTTTTGGAACAAGGGAAATGAAACTCAAGAGTGTATTCACATTTTTGGTGAAATTTTCTAAAACTCTTGAGAAAAAGGTGATTTCTTGAAGCAATTCACTTTTACAGTTTACTTCTTTGATAGGCTTCAGACATTCCAAAACAAAATCACATCCACAGCATTACTAATCAACTTTTTTCTACAGACTTGAAAAGTATCTTCTTACCACACTACAAGATTACTTCCCATACTTAGAGCAGAAATGGAAACAGCTCTGGGTGTCACGAATCAGATCTTGAGGCCACAGTTGCAGAAAGTAGGTGCTGTTTCCCTTGAGTAGGAGCTGCTGATCTGAAACCTCCCAAGGGAAGGGTGTCTGAAGAAGGGTGTCTGACAAAGAGCATTGAAAAAACTAAAGCAAGCTGTTTGTATTAATGAGAGTGAGCTGCTGGCACCACTACTCCGTAAGTGTTTCACTGCTATGCAATTGTTTTCCAGCTTCCAAGCTCTGAATCTGGCAGAGAGAATGCTGTTCTCACAGCCATAGGAGTTACATGATCAGCTGCTTTGTGGTGTGTGGGTGTTTAACTAGGTAAGTGACTGGTTAGAAGAGGTTCTGCAATATTAAATCAAGGAAGCACACACTGTCCCCTGAGATTTTAATGATTTGTCACTATACTACACTGACAAAGAAAAGCAACATACTTGCAACTTTGAAATACTTTTGAGTTTAGGATAGGCAAATAATTTCTGACAGTAAAACTTCAGGCATGACATGAAAAAAATATATAACCTGTAATATAAGCCACTTCAATCACATTTATTGAAAATCCTTCCATTAAAACATTTAAAAATGGATGATCCTGATGGCAACATCACCCTGAAAAAAGACATGAAATCATATTTAATAAAGTTGAAAAACCTTCACAGAGCAGGTGCTCTATTAGGGGAATGATAAGGCCTTCTTTTAAGAGATGGGATCAACCTCAAAGAACACAAAACAATTCCAGATAGGCATCACAAAACAGACCACTGACTGTTGTTGAAATTTACTACATTTAGAAGATAGTGTAAGGAATATATGTTATCAACTGGTCAAATTTAGGCAAGTTATTTTGAGTTCAGTTTTAACTGTTTCTTAAACTCACATACATCTCCTTACAGGAAGACAGGGAAATGATACCTTACAAATACCTAACTCACTGTAATCAAAGAACAGAACACAAGGATACATATTTAATCTACTTTGTTGCTTATTGCTCAGGATCAAAGTAATGCCAATCCTCAAGAGACAAACAAAACAAAGCAAAACACAAAACTCAAATTCCTTTCACTTTTGCATAATATAGATCTTAACCTGAGGTCCCAGGACCAGGCTCAAGATGACTGTAATTGCATACAAAATTATGTGTGTCTATTTCACCGAGAAGAGGGTCCTAAAGGCTTCCGTGACTCCAAAGAAAGGTTAAGAACCACTGAAGTAGACTTTTCCAGAATCCCTAAAACTCAGCAGTGAACATTTTAAACAAAATTATACTAAAGGTAGTATCTATCTGAATACATGTGCACAGTCCTGATACAAACATCCAAGATGCCTGCCAGCCCTATCACAGTACAGCTCACCACTCTCAAATCAGCCCTACATGGGAACATCACCTGCACACACTCTCACGTGCCAGCCACAGCAGCTCTTCATTCCCTAAGCATATACATGTGTCAACAAAGCATGTGCTAGTTGCCATTCCCAGAACAATATGGATCTGACCATCTCTGGGAAAAAATACACGTTCTTCCTAAAATATTACCCTATATATTTACTATGCCTTGACCATAGATGTTAAAAATTACAACAAAAATAAATGAAATTTAAAATACAATGAAATTCCCACACACCATATGTATGTAATTAACTGGGAAAAAAGCATCACTCAGGTATTACTGAGGGTCCATGGGAGATGCATATAGGGGAAACACTGTAATAATGATGCTTGAACACGGGACAATCAAAGCCAGACTCACGCAGCACCATCCTGAGAACATGGTTGTGGAAGGCACCCTTCTCCAAAGGCAAAAGCACATTCCTTTGATTGGCACAAGCCATTCCTGACAATGGATCCGCGATGACAGGGACTGTTCCGCAATCAGGAAGTGTGCGTGTGTGTTTTGTGGGGGAGGGATATGCTAGATGTGATCAAAGACTGGCTCTCTTCAAGAAGAGCATATGGGATCTTAAATCGTGAAGACAGTCTTCGAGGGTGAGGCAGGGGCATTTATCATTTCTACAGGAGACATTCCTCGACAATGAACATGTTCTGTGCAGATGTAACGCGGGTGTCACTACCTTTAGTGGCTCCCATCTAAGAATCTCAAGCAGAGCCTGATTGGAGGGGAGGAGGTGGTGGGGGTGGAGAAAGGTCTGCATTACCCTCCGGGTGAGTGTTGGGCGGTTGTACACTAGATACATTTTATCTCAGGCGGCACAATACTCCCGGGGGTTGGGGGTTTGGGCGCAGCCGCAGGGAAGGGGAGGCAGGGGGTGCAAGCCACCAGCTTCAGGGCAGGCGAATCCTCGGAGGAGGACCGGTGCAAACCTCCCCCTCGGCCCGCTAACCCGTGCAACACCAGCCTCTTCTCGGGCCGCGGGGCGAGCGGACTCTGCAAAACTGGAGTCCGGCCCGGGTCCGGGAAGGAGGGGGCGAAGGTGCAGAAGCGGGCGCCCCCGGCCCAGGCTCGGGGCCAGAAGAGCGCAGCGCCCCGGGCCTCCCCGCCGGATGGGGGCTGCTCCGGCCTACTGGACGCAGCTGCCTTGGCGAAGGGCTCACCCGGCGCCCAGAGCCCCAGTCGGCTCAGCGGGCGGCGGAGAGGAAGGGCTGCTGCCAGGGGCGCAGCCGCGACTGTGGCGTGTGCGTTGGGGGCAGGGGCCCCTACTCACCCGGGCCGGCCGCCTCCGCCTCCGCCGCCCCGACCACCGCCTCGGCGGTCCATCCCTGCGGCGGGGGGCCTGTAGCCGCGGCGCTCGAGTAACAACCGCCGGCCGGGCCAGCCCCTCCCCCCTGCCCAACGTCTGTCCTCAGGGCCGCTCCGCAGTCCCGGCCTCGGCCGCCGCCGCCGCCGCCGCCGCCGCCGCCGCCGCCGCAGCGCTACGTGGCCGCCGCTCCGACGTCTCGCGACTCCCTTCCGAGCGCGCGAGGGCGAGCGGGGCCGGCGGGGCGGGCGGCGCGCGGGGAGGGAGGCAGGGGAGGGGGTGTGCGTGTGTGCTTGTGTGTGCGGAGAGGAGGGCAGGGAGGGAGGGAGGGACGGCGAGCGCCGGCGAGAGCGCGCGCGCGCCCGCGGCCCCTTCCCTCTCCGGCCCCCCCGCCCTACGGGGAGCCCGACACCTCCCTCCGCCCGCCCCCCTGGCATCCCGGCCGCTGGGCGCGGCGGCGCGCATGCGCAGCCCTCGGCGCCGGCCCCGGCGCACCTTTTCTCCCTCCTGCTCACATTGTGAGCGCTCCGCCGCCCACAAAACTGCCGATTCCCGCTCCACCCCCGCCTCCCCCACTCCACCCACTCCCGGGCACCCAGGTAAAGGCGTGGAGTGCGCGTGCGCACCGCTCTTCTTGGGTTTGGGGGCGTGGCTGCTGAAAGGAAGCCAAAATGTAGAGTGGGAGGGAGCTTTGGGTTCTGGAGGGTGGGATTCCACGAAGTAGGGGGCGGGTTAAGATTAGGGAAAGGTGAAGTGAAGAAAAGTAGGCCCGAGTGAGATTTAGAAGTAAAAGAGCTTCTTTGGTTTATGAAATAAGGTAAGAAAACAAACAACTTGACTCTGGCCTCCTTGTTACTGAAGAGCAGTGTGAGTGACAGAAGACAGAAATAAAAGAGGCAAAATATAAGCAGTAGTGGTCATTCGCTAGAGTAATGGGACAGCTAATAAAAACGAGAAATTTAGAGATCACCCAGGGTGGTCAGAAGAACATATTTAGAGCCGTGCTTGTTCTGTGGCCAGAAATAGGGAAGGGGATATGTGTGTGAGTGTGTGCGCGCACGCGCGTGCACTTGAGACAGGGAGCTGCTGAAAGAAAGGAAGCCTCCATTTAAGTATTATAGCATTATGACTAATTAGCTATTAATCATTAATATAATTAAGGGTACTATTAGCTAACAAGGTAGCATTTATCCAAGTTCATAGCCGAGAGAAGTAGTCCATAATTGAAAGTGCTTGGAGTACAGAGAGGGGAAATGAACCCAGCAAGGTAAAGGCCTTAGATGGAGTAGAACCAAGGCATGACCTTTCCCACCATAAACCAAACTTCCTTGATGATTTCCAAAGTTTAACTTTTTTTTTTTTTTTTATGCGGTACGCGGGCCTCTCACTGTTGTGGCCTCTCCCGTTGCGGAGCACAGGCTCCGGATGCGCAGGCTCAGCGGCCATGGCTCACGGGCCCAGCCGCTGCGCGGCATATGGGATCTTCCCGAACCGGGACACGAACCCGCGTCCCTTGCATCGGCAGGCAGACTCTCAACCACTGTGCCACCAGGGAAGCCCTATCCTTCCATTATTAAAAGCACACTTAACAAATGTTCTTGCACTGAGGCTGAGCTCTCAACATTTTGAAGACACATGCAGGTATTTCTCCCCCCAAAATAGCAGCCCCCCAAAAATTCCTGTGGAGAGTAAAATGACCTGAGTCTGGGAAAAGGTTAGGGAAGAGATTGAAACTTTATAAAGGGGTTTGAGGGTTAACTCCGTCCTTAGCTACTTCCAAAAACCTATGCTTGGTTTTTATTACACTTGGACTCCATACTCTAGGGATTGCAATTTAGCAACTTTGGGTCTTGTTCTTCAATAGTGAGTGTCTTCAGTAGGTAAACACTAAAAATGATATCATATTTTAGCAAGTAGAGAAAATCTTCAGGCAGAACAGGAGGAAGCAAGCATAAGTAGTAAAAGAAAAGACTTAGATTCAGTGTGAGAAATAACTTGGCATCCGTGGAGACTGGTGAGCCTAGAATATCTGACTGAGGTGTCCAGCTTTGCCTTCTTGGACATTTGATCCATCCCCCACCCTCTGCCGGTCAGGGCTATCCTGCTTGGAAGAGGGGTATGCAGAGTGACGGCTAAAGAACCAAGTCTCTAGGAGTTTCTACCCACAGGCCAAACCTCTGAAGGGCTCCTAGTCATTGGAATAGTAGTATTGTCACCTTCCATTTGAAGCATGCTTTATGGTTTTTGCAGAAAGGTTATGTCCATTATCAGATCTTGCAACAACCCCATGAAGCAGGCAGAACAGGTATTATTCCCAGTGAAGGAAATCCAGGCCAAGGTATGTTTACTGGCTCAGCCCATGTCACCCAGCCCAGTCAACAATGGAGGCAAAGCAGGACTCCCAATGTGCTGTCCTGTCAAAGGGTTTAACAGGCCTTCTCGGAAAAACAGCCACATATTCCTCTGGATTTAAAACAGGTAGCCTGGCCACGTGAGGGACAACAATTCTAATATTCAGTTCTACATCTGCATCTCCTTTATTTCATGGTTTTTTTCATCCTTGCTCTCTCCAGGACCCTGGCACTTGCCCTGTGTATCTGAAGCCTTGGCAACTGGTACTCTGGAAGGCCCTGGGCCTGGCAAGGCGAGCCCAGTCCCTCTGCTCTCCCTCAACTCTTCCCCCTTGAGAAGCTATAGGAAGAAGGGCTGTCATCACTTTGCTAGTCCCAGTGCCTCCCTTCTTCGTCTTAGCAGTCATTATAGGCAACATTTAGCACCCACATCTGGCCTTATTGGAAGACGAGGCTTCTGTCATCCTGGTTTCCTGGCCCTGGATAGTTCTTCACTAACTTTCTCATTAAGGCCGTGGGCAGAAACCAACAGAACCCCCTGCCCCCCCCCCTTTTTCTTTTGGTCACGCCACATGGCTTGCGGGATCTCAGTTCCCTGACCAGGGAATGAACCTGGGCCATGGCAGTGAAAGCCTGGAATCCTAACCACTAGGCCCACCATTTTTTTTTTTTTGATTTAAAAATTTTAGTGAAAATTCTTTATATTTTGACAGCTCTGGAAACCTTCACAAATTTAATTTAAACAGCAGCAGAGTTATCTTGTTCCTGTAAGGTGAGCTGGACAGGCTGGTACAAGCTCCCTATTCACTGCGTTTCTTTGCTCCCCAAGTTTCCAGGGGTGTACCCCCAGTCAATTATAGTCAATAATAGTTCTTGCCACCTGTACTTATAGAGGGGCAGTGGTTGTGGCTCCCTGCCCACCCATTAACTAATGTAACCCCGTCCTACTGCACCGGACTTGGGGCCAGAGCCCTGGTCGTGGTCTCCTAGGCCCTAATACTTGTAGTGCTGTGACCTTTGTTCAATCACTCCACCTTTGAGGCTTTGTAAAAAGAGGGGATTATATGGCTCTTAGTGCCTTCCAGATCTGATACCTAGGATTCTACTTTAGAAAGTTGACTGCGTTCGTTAATACCTTGGAATTCCATTCCTTTCCTAAGAGTTACTATCCAATTCTCATCTTTAAGCCCTTCCTATTGGAAACTGCCCCTTTTACAGAATGGATAAAGCTGTCCTGGACTCCCCTTTTGTATTCACTTCTTTTTTCTCAGATCTCTAAGCAATAATGTTTAAAGACAGCTCAGAAAGCTGGACTTTTGGCTTGTCTGCCATGGGGCTTGTACGTGTGCGTGCACTTGTGGACATGTGTATATGTGGTCCATGGGCACTTTCATTCTGTGCCCCCTCAGCTCCCACCACCCCCACTAAAATTCCAGAGAAAAGTTAAAACAAATGCCAGAATGCACCAAAAGGCCAGGTATGTGAGTGGAGCTGTTTTGCTTTGGGGATGGAGATGAGGGAGGCCATTGAGATAGCCAGTGTCACTTCAGTCTCAGCTGGTTTTAGCTGTAGCATGGCCTGGGACCATCATTTGGTTCATAGTTCCCTACAGCTGTGGTCTCTATACATCAGCTTCTCCATTTGAAACATCTCAGAGTTTGGATCATGATTTCTCTGGTGTCCTTATCATCAAAATGCATTTCATAAGTTTTTAAAAAACACACATATGGGGACTTTCCTGTTGGCGCAGTGATTAAGAATCCGCCTGCCAATGTGGGGGACACGGGTTCAATCCCTAGTCTGGGAAGATCCCACATGCTGCGGGGCAACTAAGCCCGTGTGCCACAACTACTGAGCCTGTGCTCTAGAGCCCACGAGCCACAACTACTGAGCCCACGTGCCACAACTATGGAAGCCTGCGCGCCTAGAGCCCGTGCTCCACAGCAAAGACCAGCCACCGCAATGAGAAGCCCGCGCACCGCAGCCAAGAGTAGCCCCCGCTCACTGCAACTAGAGAAAGCCCGCGCGCAGCAACAAAGACCCAATGCAGCCAAAAAAAACCCCAAACCAAAACCGAACAAAAAACCCAAAAAACAAACAGAAAACACGCATGTGACAATTTCTACAAATCTTTCTTTTACAGTATTTCATTTAACGCTTCCCTCAACCCTGGGAGGTAGGAAGGGCAGAAAACATTTCTGCTATTTATTTTTAACAGCAAATTAAAAACAAGGTCCGGATTTTAAGAGTAACATGGCCAGAATGAAATCCTGGGTCTCCAGGGTCCAAGTCCAGGACTTGTCTGTGACGCGGTACTGCAGCCCTTTGCTGGACACCATACAAAGCCCATGGAACAGATGTGGTTTCTGCTGTCTGGAAGTTTGGACTCAGACGGCCAGCCACGATTCTGGCCAACATAAAAGGACAAAGTGATTCACGGTCGACTCACATACGCCAATAAAGAGATGAGTTAAATAGATAAGGAAAGCCATGTTTACCTGGCCTATTAATGATTTTTTAAATTCCAGTTGGGTAGAAAGGACAATGTTAATGAGGCTAAGGTTTTAGGCCAATCCCATTCTGCCTACTTGCTTCGCACACGGAAAAACTATTTGTAGCCGCACTGCATGCTCTTTCCCCTTCTTGTCTTCAACATTCTATCAACCTTCCTGAAATAACTACTAAGTGTCTGTCATGCAAGGTGGGAATCAAGGACCATGAAGAAATCATCTCTACCCTCAAGCAGCCTCTCTAACCATTTTCCTCATTCAAACCACTTGTGAAAGCATTAGTTAACCCTGCGTCTACCATCTCTACGGATGGAAGGACAGATTAACTTAGCCTCTGTCCTGTTGTGTGAGGGTCTGAGATTCATCTTTATCCATGCAAGATGGCCAGTTAGGACAGTAGAGAGGTGGGCTTTGGGATCTGAGGGACGCTGGTACTACCCCAGAGAAAACAGGCTACCACACTACCTGCAATAGCTTAGCTTCCTGGATATCTAAGCAAAGGCCAAGAGGAATCCTGGGGTTAGGGAGTGTGGGCAGCCCAGGGCAGGGACCCACAGCAGGAGAACATCTCCCATCTCTAAATGGACTGTTGCAGGCCAATTCCTCCCCTGGGGGGTGTTCTGCCTCAAGGTCCATCTACAGGGCAGTGATCTAAGGCAGTTAGGCCCGAATTGTGTTTGAGTCTTTAAAGAGGTTCTGGGATTCTTTTAGGCAGCATGCTTAATTGTTGTCAGTAATTGATGTGACATATGCCCCAGAGGCATGCACTGAGGTCCAATGGAAGACATGGTTTTTAAAAATTGGAATGAATTAATTAAAGAAGGCGGCTGCACGGGGCTGTGAGTTCATGCCAAACTCCACAACCCTAAACCTGGCAATCCACCCAACTGGCCTCGCTGCCTGAGGAACAATCCCCAAATTCTCACAGAGGTGGGATGGGAGACCTGGGATGCAGTGCAGGACATGGGGGCTGCAAGGGGGAAGGACAGGGCTCAGGGAACCCCCTCTTAGCTTTTGTGACCCTCAAAAGGCTCATCTCAGGAGAACAGTTTGGGAGCCCCAAGAAACGTGTTGGGGGGGGCCATAAAACTGCAGAAAAGGGGAAGGCATGGCCAAAGGAGGTGTGTGAGATTACGGGGGAGGGGTGGCAAAGGGGATGAGGGTGTCTGAAACTGGGGGCTGCAGTGGGACCTGGAATTGTTAGCAGGACTGAAGAATGATGGAGCCCCTCAGGTAGCGCCTGGGAAGATCTGGGGGTGGAGAGGACTCTGAAGGCGGAGCTCAGAGGAGGTGGAGCCTGGATGTGGCGGGGCGGGAACCCAGTGCCTGGGGCCTCTGGCATTCAGAGGTATTCATTAAACCCCTGACCCGAGGTCGTTAACAAAGCTGTGGCAGCTTTTCTCAGGAGTTGGGTTAAGAACAACAATAGCAACAATAATAACAACAATTAACGATAATGAGACCTTAGGTGCAGCAAGTTGTCCCTAGAGCTTTGTAGGCTTTAAGTCATTAATTCCCCTGGCCCCTCAGGGCCACCTTTTTCTAGAAGTGATGGAGGCGCTAGAGGACACAGTTAATCCTGTGGGGCTCAGCCTCCTGCCATTGGCTGGGTGGGTTCGTTCACATCCAGAGGGGTAAAATCCAGGGTTCACTTCCCATTTCATAAACTGTTATAATCTTTTGCATTTACTTATAGAGTCTCTGAAATGATACTTAAATGGGGTGAGTATAGAAATGTAGAAATCAGCCATCACAACACGTCTAAAGAACTTGGATGTGAAAACTCAAGTCCCACCTGACGGCACCAGGCTGGATAATATGCTGCAGTGGAGAGTGGCCTGCAGATGACCAGGGAGTGACCAGGAACTGACCATCTGCTTGAAGCCCTAACTGGTGGCAAGGCTGAGCCTTGGCCTGCAAACAAGGTAAATTGGAGGATTTCAGGTGTTTACCCCCCACAGACGAAGGACGGAAGTTTAGAGTGAGAGCTAGAGGTGAGTAAAAAAAAGGAGGGTCACTCTAGATTGCAGAGTCATATGGGATGCAGCCTGGGAGCCAAACCCTGAGCAAACCTAGTGCCAATAGTGACTACCCTTGCAGATTTCAACCGTTCTTTTATTTATGTGTTTCACGTAACAGTGACTACAAATTACACACACTCAATCCAAAGACGGACTTTCACTTACATGCCATAGATGGTGAGAGTCATCATCGTTATCCGATTCAACATCAAAGACAGCAATATAGACAAAAAAAATCTCAGTATACCTAAACAGAATGGGTATCCTGGTCATCCTTAGGTCATGGAGCGGCGGGAATGATGCTCCCCATTAATGACGAGGGCAGGTGAGATACAGAGCAGGATCTGAGCTTCTCTGAATCTCAGAGTTGGGTAGAAGAAGAAACTGTGTCACAGCTGAAGTGCCATCACCATTCATATCAGGGAAATAAGAGGGACCAGTCCTTACTATTCTGACCCTCGCCATCCCTCTAGAAACACAGCCTTCCCTCCCTTCCCTGTATTAGTACAGAGAAAGCCACCTTCTAGAAGGTACTAGAATTTGCAGGGCTTGAATACCAATCTCCCTTGCAGATTACATCACAGAACGTAGAGTAAAGTGTTATATGGTGGACTTAGGGAACGGAGTATTCTGGTTAATCAAATAATCTGGTTTTAAAGTAGTACTAAACACATAGTAACGTTTGGGACCTACTAAAATTATTCATTGTTCATCCAAAAGTTCAGATTTAACTGGGTGTCCTGTGTTTTATCCACTTGCAGGTAAACTTCTAGGAGATCCAAAGCCACTCCTTTGGAGTTCCTTAGAGAAAAAAGCAACAGGAAAGAGATATTCTTTTATAGCTTCAGGTTCATTGGTGACAGAAAAATGGGGACAGAGAAGATAGGGAAGCAAGAGGCCCTAAACCAGGTGCCCATCGGCTCAGAAGCACACTTACCATCACACTGGGTGCATAGGTAAGATGTCACCAGGTCTTTAACTGGCCCTGTGTCAAACCAAACAGTTGTTTCAGAGATCTCAGGGAAGAACTTAAGACAAAACATCACCTACTCTCTAGTATTATCCAACACAGACGGAGCCTCACCTAAGAATGGGAACAGACAGGGGCAACTTAAATCCCTCATTTCATTTTGCCAACAGAGACGAAGAAGGTTAGGGCAGTGTGGTGCCATTGAGAGGAGCTGCATATTTCCTCTGCGCCAGAGAATCCCCTGGTGCTTGGAGACCTCCTTCCTGTCGTGTTGATGGTCCTGTGGAAATGGGCCCCATAGGAAGCTTGGTTCTGCTCTGCGTGGCATTGACTGTGCATGTCTTTTTCCTGACCAGGTTGCTGTTCTTAGCACCTACTAAGCACCTAGATGTCCCCAACTTATTGAGTGCTTTCCACTGTCCTAAATGTTGCACCTCTGTTATCCCATAGAATCCTTCCAACTTCCTTTTGAGGTAGGTATCCCCGTTTCACAGATGAGGAAACCAAGGCAGAGGGAAGTAAAGTAGGAAATGACTTAAGGTCACGTAAGCCTTAGGTGACAGACTCAGGACTGAACCCAGGCAGTCAGACTCCTAAACCTGCTCTTTGGACCGCGGTGCTGTACTGCCCAACACCCCGGTTCAGTCACACCACTGTCCTGCTCAGAATTCTTCAATGGCTCCTGTGATAAGCAGAATAATGGCTCCCTAAACCTGGAACCTGTGAATATGTTACCTTACATTGGTGGAAGGGACTTCGCAAATGGGATTAAAGTTAAGGATCTTGAAATGCAGACCTTAGCCTGGATTATCCAGTGGGTCCAATCTAATCACAAAGGTCCTTAGACGAGAGAGGCGAGAACATTAGAGTCAGAGAAGCAGATGTGACCAGGAAGCGGTGGTCAGAACGGTGTGATTGCTGGCTTTAAGATGGGAGAGGGACAAGCACCAAGGAATGTGGGCAGCTTCTAGAAATAGGGATAGGCAAAGAGCTGACCCTTCCCTAAAGCCTCCAGAAGGAACACAGCCCGCTGCCGCGTTGATTTTGGCCAAGTGAAGCTTCTGACCTCCAGAGCTGTCAGATAATACGTCTGTGTTGTTTCATGCCACTCAGTTTGGGTGATTTGTTACAGCAGCAGTAGGAAACTAATACAGCTTCCATTGCTTAAAGGGAAATCTGAACTGCTTTGCAAGGCGTTCAAGGGCCTCATGTTCTCTTCCCCCTGTCTAACTGCCTGGCTAGCTTATGCCCCCCACCCCATGCTTTACATATTGAACTTCTTCAGGATCCTCAACAGCCGTGCCCTTTCTTACGTCAATGCCTTTGCCTGGAACACCCTATCCTCCCTTGTTTGTCTGGCAAACCCCTCATCCTTTATGTCTCAGCTAAAACAATACCTCCTCTGTGAGGCTTTTCCTACTTCCCCCAAAGGAACGTAGGGCTCCTTTCCTGCATTTCGTGCCTCTGCTGCAATTCATATGCACTTCTGTTAAAGGAGATGTTAAGGACCGGTCACTTCCCTCCCTGGGTTAAAAGCTATTTGAGGGCACAGGACCTCTCTTCTCACCTTTGGTCTCCCTTAGTACCTAGCACGGTCCCCAGCACATCAAATAAAGGTCCCCAGAGAATAGAGCTCTTATCCTGACCTGTGCACTGGACCAGTGATGCAGCCCCTCCAGCCCCGTTTCTCCGTTGATAACAAGCATTTAGGGGGGAAATCATCCCTTCCCTTCCCTAGTGAGAGATAATGACAAAGAAAGTGAGACATGGGAGTGTTTCAAGTCAAAAAAGAAGAAGTGCTAATCAAAGTTTTGTAATATTCCAGCTGTACCCACGGTAGACAGTGCTTCCTCTCCAAGTCTCAATTTTTTCAGCTGGGAAATGGGTCTAGAGACGAGCTGTACGGAGACAGGAGCTATGGCCACTTCGCGGCCTATTGTATCCCCTGCATCTACACTGCTCTTGATTCTCAGGTGAATCCTCTGATGGTTGGTGAAGATCTTGAGGGAGGTTTTTCCACATTCTTCGGATTCATGGTTTCTCTCTAATGTCCACGCCGATGTTGGGTCTCATCTTGAGCGAAGGTTTCCACACATCACATTCTATGTAATTAAATTCCTGGACACTGAGTCAGATGTGCCTTCCAAGCCTCCAGACTCACCCGAGGGCTCTCGCACGGACACATCAGATACAGGTTTCTTTCCAGTAAGAATTCTCTGATGTTGTATAAGACGGTTGGTGACTCTACCCAAATGAAGGCTTATTCACATTTATTACACTTAAATGAATTTTTTTTCCTGTGTGAATTATCTGATGTTTAATGAGAAGTAAAAGGCAAATGAAGGTCTCAATAAAGGCCTATTACATACCCAGCCCTGGGCTGAGGGACTCCAAAATGTAAGGAATGGCCTCTGCCCTCTAGACATCTACAGCCTGGTTGGGGAGACAAGACTCATGTACATAAAACAGCTGGGGAACACGAGACACTGTGTCGTCATACCAAACCCCAGAGTGTAATAGAATTCGATGGGAATTCAGAGAAAGGAGCAGACCACCAGAGACTGACTAGACGGGAAAGTTGTATGAAAGAGGTTGGCCGTTAGCTTGACCTGAAAGGATGGTAGAATTGAGGCTGGAAGAGAGGAGAAAGGTGTTTCCCTTGAAAAAGAGAAAAGAAAGGAAGGAAGAAAAGAAGGGAGGGAGGGAATGAGGAAGGAGGGAAAGAAACTCTTTCTAATGTAGGGATTTGCCCGTTGATTCAGGAAACTCCCACAAACGAAGGGCAGCAGCCTTTAAAAATTTTATTTCTCTGACGCTTTTCTTGTTTTAGAGCTCAAGCCCCTTTCACTTCTACCAGGCACCCCTCAGAAGGAATGCTCTACTGCTGCCCTGCACATGCCAGCCACGCCTCGCCTGCCACCTCCACAGCATTCTTGGGGCCCATTCCAGTTTCACAACCAGGTGACAGAGGCACCAAACAGGGAGAGACCCCCACCAGGAGAGGGGCCCAGGAAAGCACCCAGGAGGCTTGTATTCAAGAATGTGTCACCCCTCACCTACACCCACCATCACTACCTCTAAAAAAATTTCCATATGGGATGCTGACACTTAGAGAGAATGAGGGTCATCAGATCTGAAGCCCTTTAAAATATGTCAGGTGTTTTTTTTTTTTTTTTTTTTTTTGCGGTACGCGGGCCTCTCACTGTTGTGGCCTCTCCCGTTGCGGAGCACAGGCTCTGGACGCGCAGGCTCAGCGGCCATGGCTCACGGGCCCAGCCGCTCCGCGGCATGTGGGATCTTCCCGGACCGGGGCACGAACCCGTGTCCCCTGCATCGGCAGGCGGACTCTCAACCACTGCGCCACCAGGGAAGCCCCGTATGTCAGTTTTACAGAAGCTTTGTGGGAACATCAGGAGTAGGGAATGCTTTATAACTTTTCCTTATTTTCTGCATCCCACAGAGAGCAGCAGGTGAGCAAGAGGGTGGAATTTGCAGTGTCTCTTCTTGGTTAGATAGCTGGAGGACTTTTTCTGCCAATTACAGTGGCTAAACACTGACTCAACATCTAACATCTGCATGAGAGGTTAGAGCCTTCATTCATTGACAAGTTTCCAAATGAAACACAGGGGCACTACCTCTCATGGGTGACGTAGTCAGAGAAGAGAGGAGAGTGGATTTCACCCTCAACAAGGTGGCTGCTTTCTGGAGAAGTGACGGGACCTGGTATTTCCCAGCATGGTGAAATCGGGAAGTGCCTTTTGCAGCCCTTCTCAGTTTCATGGCCCAAATGGTTTGTTTGGACGTGGAATTCTTTTTTTTTTTTTTTTTTTTTAAACATCTTTATTGGAGTATAATTGCTTTCCAATGGTGTGTTAGTTTCTGCTTTATAACAAAGTGAATCAGCTATATGTATACATATATGGACGTGGAATTCTTAAGCTCTTAATTCTGTCCCTGCTTCCTGTGTCACTTCCCTAGGAGACTGAATTCATGAAGGGCGGGACCTAGGCAACCCCGCCCCCATGGGGAGAACAGAATGGGGGCTGATGCCCTTGGGGTCTTACCATGTGGACATCCTGTTGGAACATTCTTCACTCCTCCCCAGCAAGGCACACTCTGCTCTGTGAAGATTCCAGGCAGGAAGTAAAGGAGATCGCTGCGGCCACAGTGGAAATGCCCAGACTCTCAGGAACCCCGGATGGTCATCCAGTCTGACCACACATACCATTCTGTTTTCATTATTAGTGTCTGTCCTGACTGCTAGTTCATGGGCTCCCCCAGGACAGGAGGCATGTGTGCCCTAGACACCAGTAGAGCCATTTCAGTGTGTATCACAGTGCCTGGTACAGAGCGGCTGTTATTAAATATTTGTTGAATAAATCAACTATAAATGTGGAAGTGATTCCCTTAAAGAGCTCTTCGCTCTTGCTTAGATGTTGAGTTACATTACAAGATGGGTGTGTTGGGGGTGCATAGGGACACCATTGGGTAAGAAATGCATGGGAGGGCTCTGGAAAATAACCCCAAAGTTCCATTTGTATCTGCTGAGTAACAGGGAACCCCTGCAGGTTCTTCGAGTCACCGACAGGAGAAGGCAAGCAGGCGCGGGTTTTACAGGCTGTATTTGATCTGGAAGAGGGTAGGGTTACCCGAAGAACAGTGCGTCTTCTTGGAGCCACCTAATCACAGTGGCAAGCTCCAGAGATGACTTTTGTGGCTGAAGGGTGAATGTTTCAGCCGGGTGAGTGTCAAGAATGCGGTAAGAGCTCTAGTGAGCCTTGCTGCTGTGTGAACTCAGAGCCGACGGTGGAAACAGAAGAGCCAGTGCAGTAATAGCCAAAAATGGCCAAAGAGGAAGACGCCTTGGGACCCAGCCCTGGATCCTGGCGTTGCACCATGTGGAGTGGGGGTGAAACCAAATAGGAAGATGTGTCTTTCTCCTGAGGGCAGAGGCCATGTCTTAAGCATCTACACCCACAGCTCCAAGCAGAGTGAGCGCCTTGCACACAGTAGATGCTTAATAAATGCTCGATCAATGAATGCTGGTTGGCTGGCTCTGGGAGGCACTGAGGATGTGAGAGCTTGTGCGGGCCCCTGCAGCCCTGTTTACTGTCTTCTCTCCTCCAAGCTCCTCAGCCCACTCTTCTGTGTTGTCCCACCTCTGCTTTAAGCCAGAAGATGTTCCCAAAGATTGCGACTCTCTAGGTGGACAGCAGAGCGTAGGAAAGGTGACTCTAGCACCTGCCGACTGGGTCTCAGCCTCAGCTGGTCAGGTCACTCCCTCCCTTCTCCTTGGGGTTCCCACTGCCGATAGGATCCCACCAAGCCCCCCACCCAGTCATCAGGTGTTGTTCACGTTTCCTCCTAGTCTTTCTCTCTTTGATCTCATCTGGGCAGGCAGGGACATGTCACTGCTGGAAGCCTGGCAGAAGCAAATGTGTGCGTGCAGGCACACACGACCCTTTCCCTGTCTCGGAGCCATCGTCTGGGCCTCTGCCTCTGGCCTGGCCCATCTTTATGAGACCGGGGCTCTTCCCCTCCAGGTGCTGAATGTAGCATCTGATACGAGAGGGCCAGGCATTTTGCACATCCGTGTCTGCGGCGTTGGCCTCCCTCAGGGGCTTGGGGAAGATCCACCCATAAGGAAGGAACTTCCAGAGAGACAAGAAATCGGGAGCCTGACCTCGTGATTCCCACAGCACCTGGCAAGGAAGGTACCAGCTCTGCTGTCCTGGCCCAGACCCAATTCTCTCTTCCAGCATCCACGCCTTCCCTGGCTCCCCTCCAGGCCGACAAGATCTGCTCCAGTTGGGGAAGGATAAGTATGGTCTAATGAGTAGTGGCAGGAGAGGGAGGCCCCCATGATCTCGGTCACATCATACCCTGGCTCTGTGCCTCAGTTTCCCCCTTGAGAAAGTCTGCCCCTGCTTCCAGGGTTCGGAAGTTCCCTGGTCTCACTGGGGAAGACACCCACAATGGTGTTGTGTTCCCTTGCAGCCAGGAGCTGCCCGCCCTGCCCTGCCCCACCCCAGGAGGACTTGCTAGTTTGTGAAGCCCGGCCAGCAAGGCAGGGTCCCGCAGGATGAAAGCTCGGAGACGCCAGAGCAGGAATAATAATGATAATCAGCAGCTGTGGCGTCTCAACCGTCCAGGAATGCGAGGCCCACGCCCTGCGCTCCCCACACCCCGAGACACTCCGAGGGCTCCTTTCCCTCGATTTTACTGCAGTGATCCCACACTTAGCCATTCCCAGCCCAATCCATTTGGGTTCCCAAGGACAGCAGTCCAGCTCCCGGCTCATCCAGCCCCCAGGTTCCATGGGAAGAGTGAGCTCGACTAGAGGGTCGAGGGTAGGACGCCAGGCTCCCTGGAGGCTCGGGCTCCTGGGTTTCCCAGAGAAGCACTCTGGCCATCCCTGGCCTGGAGCGCTTTCCCACAGACCCATTTTTGTCTGGTCAGCTTGAGGTCCAGGAGCTTTGCCTGTGTCAATACAAATCAGAATTCAAGTCCTGGCTGGGCCACAAATTAACTCGCGGTAGGACCTTGGGCAAGTTTCGTTTTGTTTTTAACTTCTTTGGGTTCACTGTCTCACCTGCCCCAAAACTTCCAGGGTTCCCCCTTGTTCACTGACGATAAACTCGGAATCCCGTAGTCCAGCATATGGCTGTTGAAGGTCCGGTTCTTTGTTTTTTGTGGCCGTGCCGTGCAGCCTGCGGGATCTAGTTCCCTGACCAGGGATCGAACCACGGCCCCCTCCAATGGAAGTGTGGCGTCTTAACCACTGGACCACCAGGGAAGTCCCAAAGATCTGGTTCTAATTCACCTTTCCAACCCCACTCTTCTTCACCCTCCAGATGCCAGCCACAAGTGACTCCTTGCTGTTGGTCATGCATATCCCATGCTTTCCCATTCTGGGGTTGCCATCCTTCTTTGGGAATGTCATTTTCTTCATTTCTACCTGGCCGGACCTTCCTAGCCCTTGAGGTCCAGGCCAGAGATCATTGCTTCCATGACTACCTGACTCTCTTCCCACCTTGGAATGCTGGTTCTTCTTTGTCTGAACCTCAAGCCCCTGGGTCCACCCTCTGCTCTGGTTACGTGCATATCTCAACTTGCCCACTGGGGTCGTCAGTGTGCTGAGGTCTCCATCTCTGTGTCCTCATAGCGCCTAGTACAGCATCCTGCATACACGACACATGCTCAATAAATAAGTGTTGGGCATAAATTGTGGCAAATAATCATCCCCACCCTATTAACTTCCCCACACAAATGTGCTTTGAAAAAGTAATTATTTTAATATAAAATTGTATGCATGTGTGTTCTCCCCAGTTTCCTCGGGGTAGTGGAACGCAGGTACCCAAGTATCCGGTGAAGGTATTAGCTCCCTAGCATTGGGCCGACATGCGGAAGGCTTTTCTCAACCAGTCGCTGGTCCAGTCTGAACTTGGACTCTGCCTAGCAGGAGGCGAGCTCTTCCCTTCCTCAGAGAATGGCAATCCCATCCCTTGGGGGCTTCCGTTTTTCTAAGCCCCATCAGCCTCCATGTGCCATGGGACTCATATGCCAGCAGGACCCCTGGATTCAAGTGTTGTTAAGAGATGAGAGGTTGGATGTGTTTAGAAGCCTCTCACCTGGATCCTTATGAGAGCGCCTTGGAGCAGTGATCACTGCTGCTGCCTGGTACTGTCGCTAATAACAGTAAGAATAACTTCGGCAACGCCTTGTATTTACTCAATGCTTTTCTCCAGGGAGCTCAACTAATCTTTCCCTCATCCCCAGAAAGAAGAGAAGGACCATGGCAGTGAAAGAGAAGTGAGCCATTGCGGCCACACTTTGAGTACAAGCATCCTTTGTTCTAAGAGGTAAATACAATACATAGCACTTCAGATGTGTGGAACTGATAAAGTAGGAAAGCAGTTCATGCCCTGGGACCCGAAACCTATGACTTAAGAATTTTCCCCCAAATCAAATCCTGAGTGAGATGATAACTCTCATACTGAGAAGTTACATCTCATCAATTATAAAATTTGAGCATGCGCCCTTCATATAAGTTCAATTACTTACAAAGTGTACACACAGCCTACTATCCTTATATCTCAGGGCACGATATATACTTGGGTGAGGTTTGTTTTTAACAATGGTGGCAAGTATAATTCACATATCAAATAGTGACCTTGATAATTACAAATTACAAAAAACAGTTTTGTGGCTGTCATCGTGTTAGACCTGATCAGGTTGTCCCCGTGTTAACCTCCTGATGGGGCTGACAAAGAGCTCGTGTGACAAGTGCCAGTGGTGCCACTTTCTTGTGTGCCAGTGCAGTGCTTGCTGAATTACTGTGATCTTTAACCTGCAGCTCCTTTGCAGGAATCTTTTTAAACCCCGTGTCCATTTCGTGAAGGTTAATTTAGTTCAATTTAGATAATATAATCCGTAATGTCATTTAACTAGGCAATGGAAACTGGGATACTTTGCAGGTTTCTAGCCATGAGCTAGGGAGTGGGGGAGCCCTGTCAGCCCCTCTGGTACCCTTGCTTCTGTGTTTCCCCCTGCGGATCCCACGTGTCATACATCGCCCATGGCTCCGTGTCCAAGGTTCCTTGATTCACTCTGAAGGGAGTCTCCTGCAACCCCACCTCATTTCCATCACTGCACTACCATTTCCTCCTTCTCCAAGCCCCTCCTGGCTATATCAGCCACCTCAAGCTCAAGCTTGCTTTCTTTCTTTCCTTTTCTTTTTCTTTTTTTTTTTGGCCATGCTGCATGGCTTGCGGGCATCTTGGTTCCCTGACCAGGCCCTTAGCAGTGAAAGCGCGGGGTCCTAACCACTGGACCACCGGGGAATTGCCTCAAGCTCACCCTTTCTAAACCTTCTTTGTCAAGCCCACTTTGCTCCCTTTCTTCCCCATCTCCAATAAGGGCACCACCAAACACTCAGTTGCCCAGACCAGAAACCACAGGGTCAGTTTCCCCTCCTTTCTGCTCGCCATCCTTCCAAATTAGTCCACTTTCTTTCTTTTGTTTTTTCCCTTGAGCAGTATTTTAATTTTATTTTTTAATTGAAGTATAGTTGCTGTGCAATCTGATATGTTATAGGTGTACAACATAGTGATTCACAAATTTGAAAGGTTATACTCCATTTACAGTTATTATAAAATATTGGCTGTATTCCCCGTGTTGTACTATATATGCTTGTAGCTTATTTTTTTAAATTTAATTACTTTATATTGGAGTATAGTTGATTTACAATGTTGTGTTAGTTTCAGGTGTACAGCAAAGTGATTCAGTTATACATATACATATGTCCATTCTTTTTCAGATTCTTTTCCCATATACGTTATTACAGAATATTGAGTGCTATACAGTAGGTCCTTGTTGATTGTCTGTTTTGGATATAGTAGTGTGTATATGCTGATCCCAAGCTCCTAATTTATCCCTACCCCCCATTAGTCCACTTTCTAAGGGCCCTCTTTTTGGTGTCTCTGGCCCTGACCATTGCTGGGTTACTTAACCAATTGGCCTCCCCACCACTGTTCTCGACCCTGCTCATTTCCCCTCCACATCTCTGCCAGAGAATTCTTTCAAATACAAGAGTCTGATTTGGGTCCCCCCTTCCTGGCCTCTCCACTTGCCTCAGGCCTAGAGGCTAAAGTTCGAACTCTTGGCAGAGTATTGCCAGCCCAGGCCCTGCTGACCCTTCCAAACAGCTCACTCCCAGCCACCCTCCCTGCTCTTGAGCCCTGGGCAATCGCCCAGGAGCCCCACCTTGAATACCATGTTCCCTTCTCGGCCTGATGACTTATGTTACTAAACCTCTAAGGCTAGCGTGCCCCACACCTCCCAAACACTGAAGGCAGGGAAAGTGACTCCATCTTCCAAGCGCTCCGGCACTTGGTATGAAACGCTCTTGTATTATGCTGAAATGTGATTGGTTAGCTGTCTGTGTCCTCTGTAAACCACTGGTTCCTGAGAGCTTAGACCACATCTGTCTTATTTCTGTCCCCTTCTTCCTAGCGTGGTGTGGTGCAGGCTCTCTGTGAAGCGCTGTCCCGTGGACATGAGGTGTTGGGAGCTTCTTCCCACCCATCACCTGCACTGCCCCCTACTCCACCCCCCAAAGGCTAACACTTAAAAAACAATACTAGGTACCAGGTACTGTTCTAGAAGGCTTGGGCATATTTGCTCACTTAATCCTCTCCTCACCACAACGCCATGAGGTTGCCGCTCCCGGCATCTCCATTTTACAGATGAGGAAACTGGAGCACAGAGAAGTTATGCACCAGTCCCAGGTCATGCGCTAGCAAGTGGCTGAGTCAGGAGTGAGACTCAGCATCCTGGACCCAGAGCCCTGATTGTAACCTCGGTGGCATGGAGTCGGTGCCATGCCCCTTCACTCAGCCTTCTCACTGTTCTCCCTTCCCTCCACGAGAGCGGCTGCTGTTCCAAGGCCAACTGAACACCCTTCCACCCTGCCCAGGCGTGAGCTGAGGGTCCGGTGGCTCAGGTGGCTCTCTCCCCCGAGAGGGAAGGACAGACATGACAGTCTGCCTCTGGTCACCCCTGCCCCACTCTCCTTTGGGGTGGCCCCATGCCCAGCCACTCCATTCCTGGGCCAAGGGCTCTTTGGGGGGGATCTGAATCCTGGTCTCAGTAGGTCCAAATCATTTCTCTGGGAGGGTGTGCCTGAACCACGCACATGATCCCCTCCCCTGCCCACCAGCCCCTCGGGCACCTGGAGGGCTTTCCCCACCTGTTCTACCTGATCAGCTTCTGGCCATTAATAATATCTCATTCTTCTCTGGGGCTTTTTGTCTATTCTGCCTTGCCTGCCCACACTTCCTTCCTGTTCTTTCTCTTTACAACAAGATTGGGTATTTTTAAGCTGAGGTTTCCACTCATCTCTTACTGTCCAGTAGTTTGCTAGCCTTGGAGGCTACAGTTTGTGGCCTCATGCTGGGCCCAGCCTTGGCCCTCACCCTTAGCCATCTCTATAAAGCTCTCCCTTCTCTACTTACGGGGGAAACACCCTAAACTGGCTGTTGGTCGAAGCTTTGGAAACTGTGCAGGACACGTAGGGAGCTGACCCCCTCCCGCGATGCTATAAGATTGTATATGGAGCCAGGTGAAGATCACGAGTGCTGGAACCTCACCAGGCCTCCAGGGTCACCTCTCGGTCCACCTGTGTGACCCACATTAGGTGGCGTCAGGGGAGCTGCTGGTCCGTGGTGTGCACCCTCTTTGCAGCTTTGGAGATGTGGCTCAGGGAGCTCCAGCTCCCTCTCTGCCCTCCTGTAATGTCCAGGGTCCCCACCTCCAGGCAGCCCTTCCCGCTTTGCCTTCCGCTTCAGCCCCAGCCTGGCCCCCCATCGCTCAGTCCTCACGGATGGCCTCCAACCTCCACAGGTGCTTAACAGAGAAACTTCTGTTTGAAGCCCAAACAACTGCAAAGGGAAGATAACTGAGCCTTTAGGGTTTCCTAGTTATTGTCTGTTTTTAAGTTTGGTTTCTGTCCTTGGCTTTCTTAAGAAAAAAGAGAACAGTGGCAACTAAACGGGCTGGTAGCCGAGAGTTTTGTTTTTAAGCAACTGATGGTGACTCACTGCAGGCCGCTGGGCCCACAGCTAATGTTCTCTAAAGTGACCGATAGGCGCAAGGACAGCCCCAAGCACCGAGGTGTCCACTGCACCCTCTGAGTCACCATGAAGGATTAAAAGTATAGTCAGCATTGCTTTTGTGTTGACTGTGCTTTATAAATTTGAATTCGTTAAAAAAAAGGGCACCCTCGCCCCCACCCAACCCCTGGTGTAGCGTATGTAGCAACTAACTGAGGGAACTGATGTTCCGGGCAGTCTAGTGGGCCTTCGGGACTTGTGGACTATAGTATCTGCAGCCCTCAACCCCAGCCTCGGCCCCAGCCACACCTCTGCTTCACACTCTCTTAACAGTCCCCACCACTCCCGCCGGTCAGACGCCCCGTGGTCCGGTCCTGAGCAGCGAAGCCTTCTGACCCCACCATGAGCTGGGACTACAGCCCTGTTCCGTCTCGCTTGTTCCCTGGCACCCCTTTTGGAGTTGGTCAGTCATTCAGTCTACAAACATTTATTGGGCATCCCGCACGAGCAGAGTGCCGTGCTGCGTGGCTACTGGGAAAAGTCAAGAAAATGTTGGTGCTGCCTTCAGGAGAAAACACTCTCCCACCACAAACACCCAGAGAGCTGCTTCCTACAAGTTCAAAAGAACTCCGTCTCAGAACCAAAGGGGTAACGGGGAGCCAAACAGGGTGGGCTTTATCAGAAAAGTCTTCTTGAAATGGGGAGATGGGAGCCTAACTTTGATTCTCAGTAGGGCTGTCCCAGCTGAACAAATAAGTGCCCAGGGCTGGGAAGCTCATCCTGGCAGTGGGACCCAGAATTCCCCCGCCACCTCTGCCAGGAAGCTGCCTTGTGAATCCCGGGCTGCCCCTTCCCCTCTGGGCCAACTGGGCGATAAGGACGGGGGACCAGCCCCAGCAAGGAGGAAGTGGCCTGGCTTCCTGTTTGTTTGTGAATCTCAGAGCAGCACCGTGCAGCCATGAACCCCAGCTAAGCAGAACAAGCCCAGCCTGAGCCCAGAGTTCCAGGGAGACCCACCAACCAACCCAGCAAGCCCTCAACCATCTGGAACTCCAGAGCAGAGACCCATCCCAGGGCAGCCACACTTGGAGGGCTAGCCTGGTAGCAGCCGTGCCAGGTCGGTGGAGTAATGACTTCCCCAGAGAAGTCAGAGTCACACATTCATAATATGAAGCCTCTGGGCAGCTCCAGGGGCTCAAGCAATACCATCTCCCCACCCCAAAGATTATTTCCTGGGACCCTGGACACAACCCTTTTGCCTTGTAAGAAAGCCTTGTGCAGAGATTGGACCCTTTGAAAAATGGGGCAGCCTTCATTGTGGTTTTGTTTGCAACAGCAAAACACACGAAAAACCACCAGCAAGTCATCCAAAAGCCGATTTGTGACAAAAAAACATGATAGATCCATACCGGGGGAAACGCTGTAGCCATTAAAAACAATGGGGTGGATTTGTTTGTGCTACTGTGGTGAGATGTCCAAGATATTTCAGTAAATGAAAGCAGCAAGATACAGAACAGCGTGATCCCTTTTCTGCAAATAATGAACAGCAGAGGACATGTTCATATAGGCTTAGAGATGTATGTGCTCCAGAATGCGTGACTTTTTTTTTTTTTTTTTTTTTTACTGGAAGGAAATTTAAGTAACCTAACAGCGGTTATTTTGGGGAGAGGAACTGTGAAAGAAAAGTGGTGGGAAGGCATTCAGTGTTCATTATGTATCTTCCTGTACCATTTGCATTTTAAAGTGATGTATATATGATATTGAGATAGATATACATATTTTTAAAATATTACCTGTGGGCAATGGGATTATGGTCCATTCTGTTTAATTCTTTGTCTTTCTCTGTATCATTTAAAATAAAAAATATCAAAGCAATAAGTATTATTTTTAAGCCAATTTAAAGAATCGGGCAGTATGCATTTGCAAGATGAAACAGGGTAGAGCTAGGATCATACGTTCTCCAGGACAACTGATGGAGGCGATGGGGAAAGTGCTTTGCTTTAAGATCTGTACACATCAGTAACAACGGAGCCATCTGACATTCCACTTTGTGGATTCCTTATGGCAAATGTTTGAGCTGTCTCTGGTTTCCTTTAACCACTCCCTTTCCCTGTGTCTTCCCCCATTTCATGGCCTCATCATTTAACTTTCTTTTTTTTTTTTGCGGTACGCGGGGCTCTCACTGTTGTGGCCTCTCCCGTTGCGGAGCACAGGCTCCAGACGCACAGGCTCAGTGGCCATGGCTCACGGGCCCAGCCGCTCCACGGCACGTGGGACCTTCCTGGACCGGGGCACGAACCCGTGTCCCCTGCATCGGCAGGCGGACTCTCAACCACTGCGCCACCAGGGAAGCCCTCATCATTTAACTTTTGACCTGAACCAAACAATAAGAAACAGAAATCTGAAGGGAGAAGAACGTATACAATATGACTTCAATACACACGACCTGATCACCTGTCATTTGGACTAACTTGTATTTGCTTCTTTATAAAGGACCTGTATCTGATTCATCTTCTAATCCCCTGAAGCATCTAGCCCAGGACTGCACACAGTAGGTGCTCAATAGTTGTTGGATGAATAAATGGAACAACTTGTGTACATGACACTTGTCTTTTTCAGGTCTGTTCATTCATAGAGTATCCACAAGGTGGAAGGTCAAACCACCCCTAAGCCTATCAGAATTGATTTTGCTCTTCCTCACGAGTGTTTGGGGAAGATGGAAGGAAACTCTTGGGGCCTCCGACGGAGAATGGGATATCCCCTCTGTGTCTCACTAATTCATTAACAACTGTTGAGCTCCCCAAGCTGACCTCAGGCTGCCAAAGCCTCAGTATCCAGCACACTTGGAGCCTCCCTGGTTTTAGAAAGAGTTAAGCTGAGCTGGTGGCGATCTCCCACCTGGCAAAGGGAGGGGTAGCACCAGTTTGGCTGGTGGTTGGGGCAGGACACTTGGTATGTTTACAGCCACAGATGCCCAGGGGGTTTTGTATCAGGAAGTCGCCTGCAGACGGTCACCTCGATCTATTTACTTACCCTTAGAGCTGGTGCTAATGTCCTCCTGGTCCCTTCCCTAGGATATTTTTCTGAACATCTTGTGCTTGTCAACACAGCCTGGCACCTGCAGCAGCAGGCAGGTTGCTGCCATCTGGTGGAGAAGAGAGCCCACAGCTTTGCCGGGCTGGGCCTGAAACAGACTTGAGAGATGGAAGGAACCTTTGAGAACAGCTTCCATGACAGTGGATTTCAAACTTTTGTAGCTGTGGAGCCCTTCCTTTAAATGACAGCAGTGACTAAGGCCTTCCTGTAAAACTGCTAAACTCAACGCTGCTCTGGCTGTAGCAGGGGAAACACTGGACCCGTCCCACACTCCCCCGAGCTCAGTTGGCAAACAGCTGATAGGGTGTTTACCCCTTCATTGTAAGGATGGGGAAACGGAGACCTGGAGATATGAAGGGACTTGCAGAAATTCTCTGTACAAAGCACACTTTGGAATCTGTGCAGCCAACCTGTACCCTCAACCTCAAATAAAGAAGGCCTGAACACAGCTTCCTGAGTGCTAGATCAAGCCACCTACCCCAAGACATCCGGGCTCCTGGGAGGAGAAGCCTGGAACTCAACTTCTACATCTTCTTGTTTGAATCAAACCAGGGTTAGACCCATGATGGTCCCTATGCCCCCTTCTCAATAGCTATAGGCATGGAATCAGGGGCACGTAGATGCCCATTTCTACCTCAGAATTCCAAAGGAGTTTCCTGATCTCTGACATTAGGGAGAGGCAGGCAGCCCCTTAGAACACAAATAGGGACAGGAACGAGAATATTTTGAGCATCTCCTGTGGGCTGAGCCCTGTGCTGAGCATTTTCACAACTGTCAACTCATTTATTCCTCAGCAACGCTGCAACGTGGATATTCGTATCTTTAGTTTTGATAAGAAAAAAAAGGATGATTGAAGCAACTAAGTAATTTACCCAAGGTCTCCCAAGCTAGTAATTGGCAGAGTCAGAATCCAAACACAAATCTTTCTAATTCTAGAACCCATGTTCTTTCTACAAACTTAGTTGCCTTCTGATAAATCTGGGATGATAAATCTGGGATGCCCAGGCCAGGTCGGAGTTTCACAGTGTCAGCAAGGATGGCTGCAGTGCCCTGGAGAGAAGGGCCTTATGAAGGAGAAGGTGTTGTCTCTGCCTGCTATGGTCTAGCTGGGGATGGAAGTGTGCCTACGAAGGGAATGAAGATCCCTCATGCACAAGCCCACCTGTGAGTGCAAAGGATTTACAGGACAAGGGGGCCCGGATGTAGAATCCTGGAAGCTGAGACATGGGATGAAAACACTGCTAGACAGAGTGTGGACACCTGGATTCCACCCTTGGCCTTGCAACCGGCATACTGTGGGACGTTGCGCAAGTCCCCTCCCCCTCCTCTCCCAAATGAAGGTGTTGTTCCTGAGGATCTGAAAGCCTGCTACTCAGTTCTGTGCTGTTGTGACTCCAGTGGCGGTGGAGTTAGATAGGAAAGGATCCCCAAAGGAAGTGAGTGAGGCGGGAGGGTTAAGGAAATAGCATTTCACACAGGGAGGATGGTGACGGCAAGCAAGGAAAAGAAGTCGTTGCTAGCCAGAGACGGCAAGCTCCTCTGTTCCTGAATGCTTGGTGGAGATTAGGGTTGGCACAGTCTACAATGAGGAGCATCTGTGGGTTCTTTTGGGGTCTCTGACTGTTCAGGATAGACATGGCATTAACCAAGAGACTCCTCTACCCAGAGGCTAAAGGTCCCAGAGTCCCCATCTCTGGGAGTCATTGCTGCACTGGGCTCCTTGGCTGTGGCTTGGGAAGTCCAATCCAGCAGCAAGTCCTACCTGGAGAGCAGGGGAGTGGAAAAGAAGTGGGTTTACCCCAGGCCTGGAGATCCTCAGACCTCTGGGGGACCATTGGGTTCTTCCTTCCTAATTCCCATCTGTTTGCTACTCCCATTCCCACCCTCTGCCTAGCTCAGGACCATCTGCAGCCACGGAGACAGACGGTGTCAGAAGCCTGTGTGCCAGGGCCTCAATGTGACTTTGCTTCCGAGTTTACTGTAGCCTTGGACACAGTCAAGGACTTCGGCGACAATTACATTGTATCTGACTTAAAGCCCTCAGCCCCTCCTTGGTGCCTGAGACTTCCATATTCCAGGGTTCATCCCTTCTCCAAGGCTATCTAATGCCCTTAAGTCAGAGGTCAGCAAACGTTTCCTATAAAGGGACAGATAGTAAATACTTTAGGCTTTGAGGGCCATATAATCTCCGTTGCAAGTATTCAAATCTGCTGCTATAGTGCAAACGTGCACAGACATGTTCCAACAAAACTCTACTTATGAACACTGAAGGTTGAATTTCATATCATTTTCATGTCACAAAAGATGGGCATTTGGACATGAGCTCATGGACATGAGCATGAAAATGCTCTCATGTCATGTCTTTTGATTGTTTTCCAACCATTTAAAAGTGTGAAAACCACTGTTAGCTCATGAGCTATACAAAAACAAGCAGTGGGCTGCACGTGGCCTGCATGCCATAGTTTGCCAGCCTCTGACCTGAGTGTTTACAGCTCATTCAGCCAAATTTAGATGGTCCAGGCCTGTCATTGATGGAAGGCTTTTCTGGCTAATCCTCATGGTTTGTCCTATCTTCCCTGGATGACAGCAGCTTTAAGTTCCTTCAAAGTAACCTTGCCCTTTCAGCTTTACTCTCTTTTCCAAAGTAGCTTGATTGGAGGGAGCTGGAAATACACCCTCCTCCCTCTCCACCCAGTGTCCTGAGCAAAGTCATTTTCTTTCAACTATAAACTGGTTTCCCCAGGCCAGTACCTTTCCATTCCCTCTTCCAGCCATGTGCATCTGGGCCTTGTCAAACATCCCAGCCTCTACTGGCTGGGGCAGGCCTCTTCACTCCTTTTTTTGTTCAATTCTCAACCCCAGTGCTGCCAGAGCTCCAGAGGTAATGTCTTTAGAAAAAAGGGAGGCCTTAAATGTAAGGAAAGGTGGGAAGAAGTCAGCCACAGGAGAAGGATTTTGAGTTGGGCCTGAGACAGAGAGGGACCGGGATTGAAAGAGGGAGGCGAGAGAGGAGAGGTGTTCCAGGCAGAAGCAGGAGAGGGTGAGCTGTGGGCGGGGGACAGCAAGGGGAGAGTCCTCACGTGGAGGCCACAGGAAGCGAGAGGGTGGTGAGGCTGGGAAATCGATCTGGGTAGGACCTTTGTGGGTGGGTCAGTCTGCTAGACCCTGAGCACCCTGCTTCAGAGCAGCTCGAGGCTACTTAACATAATGGCAGGGGAGGAGAATCAGGGGCCTCGACCCCCAGCACTCACCTCACTTCTAACTTCAGTCCTGTATGTCTATTCCTTCATCTCTTCATCTGACAAACATTCAGTAACTCCCACCAAGAGCCAGCCATGTTTGACTTGGGAGAAAAGATCAGGCGGTGGTTGCGGGGGAGAAGAGGAAGAGGAAACGTTTAATCAAATAAGGGTCCTGCCCATAAATGTAGGGCTGGAGGGAGAACACATGTACACACACACACACACACACACACACACACACACACACACACACACACCCCTGCAACCCAAATGAGCATTAAACGCCTCATGGGACTGTGGCTCAGCGGAAGTTTTGTGTTAAAGAAAGAATTGGAGCTAGCACTCAAAGGATGGGGGCATCTGGACCTGTGAAATGTGGGGGAAGGGCTGTCCGGGATGAAGTGACCGTGCGAGCAGAGGGGATGCAGTGAAAGGGGGGCTGGGGGGTATGCAGACAAGAGCAAGGAACACGGTTCGGTGCGTGTTTTCAATGAGAAGTGTTATTGGCATTACGTTTGGGACAATTTTTTGTTGCATGAGCCTGTCCCACACAAAGCAGGTCTCATAACATCCCCGCCACCTCTGCTTCCCATCACCTAATGCCAGTAGCCACTGCCCCTTTCCACCTGCATTTTTAGACAACACTCCCCATCCCACGGGATCCACCAGGTAGGTATGTGAAGGCAAGCAGTAAAGTATAAAGTTGGACTAGAAAGGTGGCGAGCAGAGGGCCTCGAATGCCAGGACAAGGCATTTGCACTTTATTAACCAAGGGAGGAGTGGCTGCTGAAGATTTTTCAGGAGGAAGGGGATGAGATCTGCTTTAGAAAAATTAAGCTTGGAGTAGTGCGCAAGATGGACAGGAGGCCTAGGAAAGGAGGGGA